CACGTGACGCTAGTAACAACTCTAGTCTTCTCTATGTGCCCTCTATTTTTGTATATATAAGCCAGCAAAAGAAGTGACGGCAGGAATAATTGCAGATTGAAAAGATAATCGAGTCAAGTCTAAGTAAAGTGCGTGAATCGTTGTGAATTATACCTTACTTTAAGTTAAAGTGACTGTGGAAATTAAGTGTATTGCGAAGTTGTATTGAGAAAGAATAAACTAGTTTTATTTAACAAAGTACTTGTATCGCTGAAGTTTCCTCGGGAAGATATTATACAGGAAATTAACAAACGACCAGAGACGTAAAACTACTAAAAAATTCATAGAGTTTTACTTCAGTTATTTTTTGTCATGTCAGTACTCAATAATTATCATTAATTTTACTTTCTCCGTTATATTAAAGTGGTCTAACAAATGAAATCTTGCAAAATGTTATTGTTTATCAGCCTTATTTCACCAACCTTGTTTCCAAAGCCAACCCTCTTTCTCTGGATTGAAGAACGTGTGCATAAGATCATTCCCATCATCTTCTGGAATTTTGAAAGGCTCCTGTTTAATGTTCTCGTACAGGCTCTAGCCTTCAGTGTCACAATGTAGTGGATGTATTAAAACTATAGTGATGAGTTGTGTGGAAGGTTAACGTTGGATGTAGCCGTAACTGTCATAGTAGCATGGATGTATACTAATTGTGGTGTTATTTGTGTGGGAAGTTAATGTTGTTAGGTAACCTTCACTGTCATAGTGACGTGGATGTATACTAATTATGGTGTTCAGTGTGTGGGATCTTAATGTAACCTTCACTGTCATCGTGATATAGAATTGTGGACATGACAAGGACAAGCTGTGTAGAATATTGTTGTTAAATACGACGCCTACGCAGTCATAGCAAATTGGTTTTATAATGATGCTTCTCTCCTCGAGTTGGGAGGGGGGGGGGATAGCTGGGTGTTTATAACATGCTGAGCTGTGAATTGAAGGTTCAATACATGCCAATGCTGATGAACATACATATCGAAATAACCTGACTGAGGTGTGGCCTGAGTTTAAAAAAGTGAGTAAGCTTATTTGAGCCTTAAAGTAATGTGAATAGACGATTACATCTAGGGCACTTAATCTGTTTAGCATTATTAAGCACTTAATCTGTTTAGCATTATCAAGCACTTAATCTGTTTAGCATTATTAAGCACTTAATCTGTTTAGCATTATTAAGCACTTAATCTGTTTAGCATTATTAAGCACTTAATCTGTTTAGCATTATTAAGCACTTAATCTGTTAAGCATTATTAAACTTCAGCAGTTTTCTTGTCATGGAATCTTGTTTACAAGAAGGACAGGTAAACCGATAAACTGATGTTTTCAAGGAAGAAATAGGGTTTTTATATCTGAAGAAATAATGATGATGAAATCCAGGTTTAAAAAGTATTGCAATTGAATGTGTAGTTGTAATATTTATGCAAGAACTAGCTAATTGGAGTAATTTGTTTGAACATGTATCTAGCCACAACAATCAAAATAAAATCATTACAAGCTTTTTGTTTTAGCTCTGAACACTTTGTATATAATTCTATACAAAATATAATCATAAGAACATCAAATCTTTGTCTTGACTAATAGTATGAACAACAAAATGTTTTCTGGGTTTCAAGTTAACCTTCCATACGACTCATCACTATAGTTTTAATACATCCACTACTTTGTGACACTGAAGGCTGTGTTTCAACGTTAACCTTCCACATAATTAATCACTATAGTTTTAATACATATACTATATTGGGGCACTGAAGGCTGTGTTTCAACGTTAACCTTCCACACAACTCATCACTATAGTTTTAATACATCCACTACATTGTGACACCGAAGGCTGTGTTTCAACGTTAATATTCCACACAACTCATCCCTATAGTTTTAATACATCCACTACATTGTGACACTGAAGGCTGTGTTTCAACGTTAACCTTCCACACAACTCATCACTATAGTTTTAATACATCCACTACATTGTGACACTGAAGGTTAGTCTTTGAAAGACTCCTTTTTCCTCTTTTTTACCGAGTTATAACCGAATGGTCATGTTCCCCTCGTCTCCCTTCACCTACTACTAGATCTTTTTGGATCTGAACTGGAACCCCTTCCCTCCAAATGGTCTCAGCAAGGTCTTTTTATTAAAGGCTTGAAGTATAAGATAAAACTTTGCTACATCCTCCAATTTGTATTGCAGCTTAACTCATGTAAATAACCAGTCTCTTATTATAAAGAAACAAAATAAAGAATTCTTTATAATACTGTAAATGTATCATCTTCGTGAAACCCAGTTCAAGATATTTCACTAATATTATTATTCTGTAATCAGAACAAAATGTTTTGAATGAAATGCTAACACTCTCCTCATTAGAACGGAGGCTCTCAAGATCATTCTGCTATTAAGATCAAATATCATTCCCCACAGTGGGATTCACCTTTGAAAGTCGACATAACAAAATCAGGTTACTTGATTATACAAAACATTTTATTTTACAAGAAAATCATACATTACCGGTGTAGTACAAGACATGTACAGATTAAAACATGAAACGGCAGCGGAAGTCACGTGACGCTGTTGAGTTTCTCGAATGATCGGGGACGTCCGAGTGTGTTCGTGGTGCCCTCTTCGTTAGTATATAAGCCTGGCAGAGAAAGCCAACGGTTATTGAATGAAGAGAGAGTAGCAGTTACTTTGCGTTCCGTGTAATTTATGATTCTGTTAGTTTCGAGCTAGTGAGCCGTAAAGTGTGTGTTTTGCACTCGTCGAGAGCGAAATTATCGAGATTGTGAACCGTTGTGATTTATAGAGTGTGTTATAGAAGTTGTTAAATTTAAAGTGACGAGAAACGTACTGATTGTGGAACTTCTGTGTACTAAGTGTTTGTATCGAGGAAGAATAAACCGGTTTAATCAAGAAAGGGCTTGTAATGCTGAAGATCCTCGGTGAGAATTTCTACTGAAAACAAACAAACAAACAGATACGTAACAATATTATAGTACTGTCTGTTGCCTGTCCGTGTAACTACTTCGCAGGGTGTGGATGGATCTTCACCACATTTGGTATGGATGTTCATTGGGTCCATGGGGTGACACATACAAATTTTCAGTTTTGCAGTTTTATGGGCGTTTTTGCATTTTTTACCACTACTTCGCCATTCATATTATAAACAAAGACAATCTATTTAAAAATAATATTATACAGTATTTTATAGTGTAAAATATTAAAATATAAAACTGACATAAATAAAAGAAAGATAGTGTACTGACACCATAGCTCCGTTCATGCTTTCAGTGGGAGAAGGGATGTGGAGTTAGTTGTGGGGAGGGGCTAACAGGATCCACCATCTAGAGTGAGGCTCTCCTTCCTCCATATTTAAGGAGGAGCATTGTTGTTACAAGAACGAATGAAGTTCGGCCTGTTTTGCCTTTTTCCGTTTCACAGACATCTATTAAAAATAATCTTGCCGAACACATAAAATCTGACAGCCGAGACAAGTGTTAACAAACGAGATATATGACCATCTCGATGCGCAGCGCTTAAGAAATCCATATGTTATTATAATTTCATTCTTATGTGTATTGTACTATAGATCAATAAATGTATTATTTATTTATTCATTCCAGTATATTTATTTACTATTTTACTTTATTTTTAACTTGTTGTGTTCGTTTATCGAACTTACGCGTATCGAGGTATTACTGTACTAATAAGATAGATGTTTTGTTTTTAGGCAGTTTCTATGGAGCTTTCATCTACCAGGAGAAGCTCAGAAAATTGATAGAATGATGGAAAAGTTTGCTCAGCATTATTTTCATTTAAATGCTGGAGTTTTCCATAACCCTGGTCAGTAGTAATCTAATTTCATGGTCCACAGAAATAAATAATAACACGTTAAGTAAAGGATTGTAAAATAACCTATTTCAGGAATAAATTTAACCTACATCTATTCTCCTTCCTGACATAACATTTTCTATGGTATCTTCATTGAATGGTATAGCAAACCTTTGGCTTCTCCATTTGTTAATATTATGTGTCTGCTTTTGTTAATTACTATTCTCTTTGTTAGACACGTGTTACGTGCTTTCCTTTGCTGTAATCATGTTAAATACATCACTTCACAATCCAAGTGTCAAGGAGAAACCGTCAGTGGAACAGTTTATCAACATGAACAGGGGGATTAATGATGGTGGTGATATGCCTGAAGAGTTGTTGGTGGTAAGTAACCGTACTTGTCACAGTGACGTGAAGGTATACAAAGTATAGTGATGATTTGTGTTGGAGGTTAATATTGCAATGTAACCTAAAGTTATACTATAGTGATAAGCCGAATGGAAGATTAACTAGAAACACAGCCTTCAGTGCCACAATATAATATATGTATTAAAACTATAGTGATGAGTTTTGTGGAAGGTTAACGTTGAAACACAGCCTTCAATGTCACAATGTAGTGGATGTATTAAAACTATAGTGATGAGTTGTGTGGAAGGTTAACTTTGAAACACAGCCTTCAGTGTCACAATGTAGTGGATGTATTAAAACTATAGTGATGAGTTTTATGAAAGGTTAACGTTGAAACACAGCATTAAGTGTCACAATGTAGTAGTGGATGTATTAAACTATAGTGATGAGTTGTGTGGAAGGTTAACGTTGAAACACAGCCTTCGGTGTCACAATGTAGTGGATGTGTTAAAACTATAGTGATGAATTATGTGGAAGGTTAACGTTGAAACACAGCCTTCAGTGTCACAATGTAGTGGATGTATTAAAACTATAGTGATGAGTTGTGTGGAAGGTTAACGTTGAAACACAGGAAGTAACACAAACTATTAGACCTATTTCATCAATGATGCATTACGTATAATGTACTAGATGTAAAAACAATAAGTTTAACAAAGCCACAGTCGCGCTATAACAAACGCTATAATTCACAACGAACGTCTCACGTGCTCGACTCAGCAATACGTCTCTCTCTGTCCGCAGTTCAATTACACATTGTTGCCGTCAATTCTTGGCGGCTTATATATACAATACTACTGCATATCTAGTAGCCTCTCGAGACTTCAGGAAGGGACGTGAACGTTGTAGAAGATCATGACGTGTTACTAGCGTCACGTGACTTCCGCTGTCGTAACAATATAAATATAATAAAATTCATTCGGATGTATTTGATAATTTGTAGCAAAAACTGATACAAATTTTTGAAACATATCTATATATAAAATTAAGTGTATTGCAAAGTTGTATTCAGAAAGAATAAACAAGTTTTATTTAAGAAAGGACTTGTATCGCTAAAGTTTCTTCCGAAAGAATTTTTACGGAAAATTAACTAACGACCAGAGACGTAACATTACTTTCGGCCAGGCGTAGCCTAGTGGTTAAAGTGCCGGACTATGATCCTTGATATACTCCCGTTATCGCAAAATCGCACCCCACACGAGTTTCTAAAACAAACAAACAATATAATTTTTGTCTTATTGTCAGGTATTTTTGTTTGTTTGTTTGTAATTAAGCACAAAGCTACACAATGGGCTATCTGTGCTCTGCCCACCACGGGTATCGAAACCCGGATTCTAGCGTTGTAAGTCCGCAGACATACCGCTGTGCCACTGGGGGGCTGTCAGGTATTAGGAGCTAAAATTATCCTAATCGTGTTGTGGGTCAATACGATAGTCCAGCTGTTTTCATTATTGAATTTATTTATGAACAGCTGTTGTCAATGAACAGCAAGAATGCCAATGATATTAGAAACGCCAACTCCATTGTAACACAGACTTTTTTGATTGCTTAACGAAGGGCGTTGCACAAAATAAATTAGAAAAAAGTTGGCAATTTATTCCTTCGTACAATTTATCCAATATTTTAATGTCGTTTACTGTAAGCAGCTATTGTTAAAGTATTTTTTTACATTTGATGTTTGTTTGTTTTTAATTATGCACAAAGCTACACAAGGGCTATCTGTGCTCTGCCCACCACGGGTATCGAAACCCGGTTTCTAGCGTTGTAAGTCCACAGACATGCCGCTGTGCCACTGGGGGGCTTTTACATTTGAAATACTAATCACAAAGCTTTGTGGTCAGGTGGTTAAGGCGCTCGACTCGCAATCTGAGGGTCGCGAGTTCGAATCCTCGTCACACCAAATATGCTCGCCCTTTCAGCCGTAGAGGGGCGTTATAATGTTATGGTCAATCCCACTATTCGTTGGTAAAAGAGTAGCCCAAGAGTTGGCGGTGGGTGGTGATGACTAGCTGCCTTCCCTCTAGTCTTACACTGCTAAATTAGGGATGGCTAGCACATATAGCCCTCGTGTAGCTTTGCACGAAATCCATAATAAACAAACCTTGGGCT